ATATGCCCATTTTTAAATTGGGTTATTTGTCTTTTTTGTAGAGGTGTTTCAGATTTCTATAAATTTTAGAGATTAGTCCCTTGTCTGAAATGTCACAGAAACTTTTTTTCCCAGTATGTGGGCTCTCTTTTTACTATTTTGGCAAGATCTTTACACAAGTGTCTAATTTTTAGGAGGTCCTAGTCATCTATTTTGTCCTCTACTGTTTGTGTGTTTCTTGTTATATTTGACTGTATTTATTCCCCTAAGTTTGTCCCTATTTTTTTTTATTGATGATCTTTATAGTTCTAGGTTTACTTTAGGTCTTTAATCCACATTGGGTTTGTTTATGTATATGGTGTGAGATAAGGGTTTGTTTCATTTTTCTCAAATGGATTTCCAGTTTTGCCAGAACCATTTGTAGAAGAAGCAATCTTTTTGCAATTGAATATGTTTTGGCCCTTTTTCAAAGATCAACTAGCTATACATGTATAGATTTACTTCTATGTTCTCAATTCTGTTTCATTGATCTATGTGCCTTTTGTTGTACCAGTATGAGACTGTTTTAGCTACTGTGACTATATAGTGGATTTTAAGATCAGGGCGTGAGAAGTCTCCAACTTTGTTATTTTTTCTTAAGTAATGCTTGGCTTATCCAATGTCTCTTCCCTTTCCATATAAAGTTAGTGATCAGGTTTTCCATCTTTTTATAAGAATGGCATTGAAATCTTAATTGGGATTGCATAATATTCATAGATTGCTTTGGGTAGTGTTGACGTTTTCATAATTTTAAGTCTTCCTGTCCATGTGCATGGTATATTCTTCCGCTTTTGTAAATCTCTTGTTTTCTTGTAGTAGTATTTTGTAGTTTTCCTTGCGTAGATCTTTTGTTTCTCTGGTTAAATTTACTCCAAAGTATTTCATTTTTTGGGTGCCTATTGTAAATAAAATTTTTCCTGATAATATTTTTCAGAGCTGTCTTTATTAATATAGAGGAATCCAGCTTTGTATACTGATCTTTTATCCTGTCACTTTGCTGTATAGAATGTCATAATCATCTACAAAGAAAGTTTTACTTCTTCTTTGCCAATTTGGGTGCCTTTAATTTCCTTGCCTTGCCTTATAGTTAAGACACAATATTGAATAGAAGTGGTCCCTGTTCACAAAGGGAATGCTTTCAGTTTCTTTCCATTGAGACTAATATCGACTGTTGGATTTGTATAAATGTTCTTAATTATGTTGAGGAATTTCCCTTCTATTCCTGTTTTGTTGAGAGTTTTTATTAGGAATAGATGTTGAATTTTGTCGAATGCCTTTCTGCATCAGTTGATATGAGCATGTAGTTCTTTTCCTTTGTTTTATTTTTGTGTGGATTATAGTGATTTCCCCCCTCCTAATATTTAACCATCCTTGCATCCCTGCTCTGAATCCTACTTGCTAATGATGGGTTTTGTTTTTTTGATATGTTGCTGAATTTTATTGGGAAGGATTTTTCTGAGAATGCTTGCATCTATGTTCATGAGAATTATTAGTCTATAATTTACATTTTTAGTAATGTCTTTTGTTTTTATCATTTAACAGTATTGTATATGCTTCTATTCCCTCTGGTTTTTTTGTTTTTGTTTTTGTTTTTTTATGTACACAAAAACACTCAGAAATATATAATCATTTAAACAACCAAGGGGCACATTCTGTAAGTCTGTACCCTTGCCGCCAGCACATAGTCTGTGTCTGTCCATGAGTCTGGAGTCCTCAGATGCTCTGTCTCTCCATGCTATCTTCTCTGCCTCTATCTCTGGTGTCGTTGCTTCTCTGGTTGTTGTTGTTGTTGGTGTGCTATGGAGTCAGTTCTGACTCATAGAGAACCTGCATAGAGTTTCCGAGGTTATATATCTTTATAGGAGCAGAAAGCCTTATCTTTCTCCCATGGAACTGCTGGTAGTTTCAAACTGCTGACCTTGAGTATAGCAGCCTAACTCTCAACCACTACCAGAGCTACCAGAGCTCCTTGCTTCTCTGATTAGGGTCCCAGATTATGCTCATGCTCTTCTCCTTTGCTAAGGTCATCTATTCCTGGAATGTAAGATTAATTACTCCCCCCTTTATGGTACAAAACTTCTGCTTCTACAGTTGTGATAATCACAGTTAGTCATAATAACAATTACTTGCTGTTGAATCAAAAGAATCCTATCCCCATCTCCTTTCACCAGACCCGTCTAGACAAGATGAAAACTATTCAGTGGTATTATGCCTTCCTACACACACACTCTGAAACTCAACCTCCTCTTGAAAACTTGTAAGCCAGCCACTTAGTGCCTTTGTAAACCGCACTCCCCTCCCCCCCTTTTAGGTAGCCAGTGTGTGATTTGCCCATGCCTATCAACTCTGTGGTGTTGTCAGTTAATGCAGTAAACTGCAACATTGGTGTGGGCCATTAAGGCTGGCAGTTCTAACTCACCAGCTACTCCTTGGAAACCCTGTACAGGGTCGCTATGAGCCAGATCCCGACTCGATGGTACTTAACAACAAAAACAACATCAACCCTGTCACTCACAAAAGCTTAAGATGGCCAAGTCGTATCCAGTTGCTGACACAGGTTACCAGTCTGTTTCTTTTTGCCACATCTGTTCAGATTCCTAGTAAGCATTCAGTCCACTTCTCTATCACTTCGTCTGAAGCTCAGGACTATCATCTACATCTCTTTTATTTAGTTTTTGGTATCTTTATTGTAGAGGGTCTATATAGTGTTACTCTCTAGTCTGCCATCTTCTCCATTCACATCCTTTGATTTATTAATTGCTTATTCCATGAGTGTTGGTTATGGATTCAAGCAAAATGAAATTGTTGACAACTTCAGTCTTTTCTCTGTTTATCATGATGTTATTTATTGATTCAGTTGTTATATTTTTGTTTTCTTTACATTGAGATGCATTCCATACTAAAAGCTATATTCTTTGATCTTCATCAGTAAGTATTTTAAATACTCCTGGCTTCCAGCAAGCAAGATTATGCCATTTCCATGTTGTTGTTGTTGTTGTTAAGTGCCTTGTTAAGAGTCATTTCCACTTCGTAGTGACCTTGTATATGGTTTCCAAGGAGCAGCTGGTGTGTTTGAACTGCCAATCTTATGGTTCACAATCCAGTGCTAATCCTGTGGTGCCATATCAGCAGATAATTGAGACTTCCTCTAATCCTGATGCCACATTCTTCTTCATAAAATATAGCTTCTTGGACTATTTGTTCAGCATACAGATTAAATAAGTATGGTGAAAGAATAACAACCCTGGCACACACCTTTCCTGATTTTTTAAACCATTTGTTGTTCCCTTGTTCTGTTCAAATGACTGCCTCTTGGTCTGTGTACAGGTTCCTCATGAGCACAATGAAGTGTTCTGGAATACCTGTTCTTCACAGTGTTATCCATAATTTGTCATGATCCATATATAGCTGAAAACCTTCAATAATAGCAAAAGAAACATTTTTCGGTATTCTCTGCTGTTAGCCCAAATCCATTTGATGTTAACAATGGTATTGATAGTTTCATGTCCTCATCCGAATTTGGCTTGAATTTTTGGTGGCTCTCTGTTAATGTACTGTTGCAGCAATTTTTTATTGTCTTCAGCAAAATTTTAATTGCATGTGATATTAATGATATTGTTTGATGATTTCCACATTCCATTGGATCACATTCCTTTTCGTAAATATAAATCTCTGCCAATCAGTTGGTCAGGTAGCTGTCTTCCAAATTTCTTGCTATAGATGAGTGATTGCCTCCTGCACTTCATCAGTATGTTTAAACACTTCAATTTGTATTCTGTCAATTCTTGGAGCCTTGTGTTTCACCAGTGCCTTCAGTTCAGCTTGGAGTTTGTCCTTTAGTGTCATCAATTCTTGATCATAGACTGCTTCTTGAAATTGTTTAGCATTGACAGATTATTTTTGTTACATTGACTCTATATATTCCTTCTATCTTCTTTTGATGTGTTCTGCAAGAGTTAATTGTTATTGTTGTTAAGTTTGCTTTTGAGTTTTTCCAACTCATATCAACCCTGCATATAGTTTCTGAGGAACAGTAGGTGGATTTGAACCACCAACCTTGAGGTTAGCAGTCCAGTGCTTATCCAGCCATCAGAATGCCATAAGAATTAATTAATGATAGAATAAATCAGAAGAAATATTACAATTGGGTTCCTTTTCGCCAAAGACTCCTATAGTTGACATGCCTCTTAAATTACCCTTTTATTTCTGCTATGCTTCATTCTCAGGCATTTATATTTCACATTTCTCATATATTTGAGATTACTCATTACTTAAAGCTATGGTTTGAATAGCTATATATATACATTTTTTTGAGGTTTTCAAGGATTTCATTTTATTTAGACCCACAATAAACACCTTGGAAGCAGTAGTCAGGAAAATAAATGACATATTGCAATGGGCAAGTCCACAACAAAAATTTCTTTAAATTTTTAAGTAGCACTTTGAAAACTAATGATTGCCTGATCTAAATCATAGTATTTTCAGTTGACTTATATGAATGCAAGAATGATGGACAGTGAATAAGGCAGAGTGAAGAAGAATGATACACATGTATTACATTGTTAGACAAGAATAATGTATGTACCATGGACTGACAACATAAGGAATAAATCTACAACACAAAGTTGTTATGTTGTTGATAGGAGCTATATATATTTTTTGAAGTTGATGTGAATAACACTGTTTTTATTCACAAGGATTTTTTTCCCCCCAAACTAAAAGAATAAAAAAATTAGCTACCATCACATTATACTTTTGCTATATTTTTGTTTTATATACATATCTTTGCTCTTGTTTTGGTAACATTAATGATAAGATTAAATTTATTTTTGGATTGCATGGCATAATGCCTAGCACTCAATAAGCCTTAATGAATAGATCATCGAAGAAAAATGGAATTAATATAACTTTGAAATCAATATTAATCTACCTAACAATCTTACATATAATATTATATATTTTTAAGTTCTGATTTCTGTTAGATTGCTCAATCAGGTTTTGAGTGTAGGCCCAGAGTGCACCCTGAATGTGACATTCCTGAGTTTTGTAATGGAAGCTCAGCATTCTGTGACCCTGATGTGACTATCCACAATGGACATTTATGCAAGAACAATAAATTGATGTGTTATGATGGAGACTGCCATGATCTTGACGTACGATGTGAGAAATTGTTTGGGAAAGGTAATGTTTTGGGTTGCATCTAAATAATTAATCTTATGTATTTTTTAATTAATATTCATCAAGGTAATGACTCAATTTTGTATAAGTATAAATCTAAATGTTTTGAAGCTATTTCATGGTTTTAAATGAGTTAATGAATGAAAGCACTTAGAACACTGCTTTTAGATGCATTAAGTGCTCAAAACGTATTCTAACCAAGCTTAGTTAATAAAATTTGCTAATTTCTTCTGCATAGATCAATGTTATACTTAGTATATTATATTACAACTGAATGATAATACTAAAATATGGACCGATTTGTTCTACACTGCATCTTCAATTAGTGGTCAGATTGTCCTAAAAACAAAATAAGTGAAAACTAAAAGTTAAAGGGACATAAGGTCCTATTGGAGTAGTGGTGTGGCGCTGTGGACTAATGTGTTAGAATGACAAGTCAGTTTGAACCACAAGGTTGAGGGTTCAAGTTTACCAGCCACTTCTCAGAAATCACTAAGAATCAAACTGACTTGTCGGCAC